TTTTCCTCCTCTAAACTGTTCTTGTCAGGTATTTTGGTCACAGCAAGGAAAAGCTAACTAACACACTTTGGGAGTCCATATAAGGGAATAGTTAAATAACAGCTACTGTAGCGTCAGACAGACCAGGATCCAAACCCCTAATGCTGAGGTGAATTACCCTGGAAACATAGCTGAACATCTCTGAGCTAGCTCCTAGGGTGGAAGGGATTAGACACAAATATAAGTATCTGACACATAGTAAGTGTTCTGTGTAGTCAAATTATCATCATTACTATGTTTAGTTTGGACTCTTGCTTACAAGTAATAAAAATGAAACAAAAACTGATTTAGGTTTTTAAAAAAAAAAAAAAAAGGTGTTTTTTGTCCCTGGGCTTTAGGGTGGTTCTGTCACCTCTGCCCTTCTGTGCACACCTGTTTCACCCTCTCCCTCAGCTTCTTAACTCAGGTCCACATCATGGTTGGAGAAAAGCTACCTCCTGACCCTTAAACTGGCTTGCTGTAAGTTCAGCTCCTCCAAAAAGAGACCAACATGAATCCTTTTCCTGTCTTCAATTTCACACTTCTGGGGGAAAGTTTCTGAGGAACTCACCTTGAATTGGAGCTACTTCTGTTCACTCACTTAGTGAGGGTGGTGCATGTACAGAGGCAGGAGTCAAATGACTCCAAGGCCCCCAGAAGGCAACAGACATGGAGGGAAGATAGATGTGGGAGAGAGATCATCACCAGATGGACAGATGCTGCAAAAATCACCTTCAAACTACTAGGATCATGAAAAAGGAACATTTAAAAATGTGAAGCAATACACAATATGCCCTTCCTTATGAAAAAAAAATATTTCATACATATTATGATCATAAGCTATAAAGATTTATAGGGAACACAAAGAAATTGTTGTTATGCTATGGTGATGATTTTTTAATGCCCTTTGATTTAATAACAAAACTCTGTTGAATGTGGAAAGCTCCTACAAGGATTAATAACCCTTGAGCCTTTGCCACCTAACACCTTAGCAGGGATTAGTTGACAACTGGCTGAGAGCCAAGCCCCAAGGGGACAAACCCAGTCCAAAAAGGGGAGGGGGAGGCCAAAAAATGCCCAGAGTGCTGGAGGCCAAGTCTCTTGCTCTTCACAGTGTGTGGACACTGAGGCCCTCTCTTCCTGGAAAGGGAGAAACCTGGCTCAGAATTCTGAAGCTTCCATCGTATTTTCGCAGAACATCAGTAAATTCCAGGCTGGAGACAAGGCAGCTACTAGAAAACTCCTTTGGTAATTAAAAAATAAATAAATAAATAAATAAGCACTGGGGACATTGTGAAAAGGCACCAAGTGGTTTTGGGGGCAAGACTGGTGACAGTTTCCAAAGGCCCTACAGACATTCTATAGAAACAAAGAATCCCACGCCCACTCCAGCAGCCTCTGAGCCCATCTGGCACTCTGTCCCCAGTTCCCACCCTTGGGCCCAGTGAGGATGACCTGGGAAAAGTCTTTCCATTTAGTCTTTGGCACCCTGCTTCTGCTAGCTTGAATGTCAATGTGCTGCTTCTTCTAATGTTTCCCTCAGGGATTGGGTAGGACAGATGGTCACTGTCATGTTAAAGCCAAAGACGTATGAAGCAACTTTGTGAGCATTGTGAGAGCTTAACTCCTACCCCAGAGACAGACCCCCTGAGACTCTTGCCTGGACAGGGACCGAGGCTCTGAAATGCAGTGGGTAAATCACATCCACAGCTCCGTCTGCAGAGAAGACGCAGTACTTTTGATATTGCTCAAGTTAGCTGCCCCAAGACACTGCCCAAATGTTCCCTTAAACACTGCTTTTATCTTCAGCAAAACTATATATGGCCAGAACTCCAGAAAAAATTCACTTTAGTCTAAGGGCTTTCAGTGAGTGTTCAAGACCCCGGCTTTACAAGATTCTAAGGTCTGTTGCTGGATTTTACCTTAATCACAACCCTTAATGTCACCCACTTGGACAGTTCCTGTGTCCTATGGAGGATAGACCTACACAGCTATCTGTATAACACTTATGAAACAGCCATGCATTCATTAGGTAGTGGATTTAAAAATTATCATAAACTTTATGGCTTTAAACAAATGATTATCGGGCTGGGGATGTGGCTCAAGCGGTAGCGCACTCGCCTGGCATGCGTGCGGCCCGGGTTCAATCCTCAGCACCACATACAAAGAAAGATGTTGTGTCCACCGAAAACTAAAATATAAATATTAAAAAATTCTCTCTCTCTCTCTCTAAAAAAAATTATTATCTTGCAGTTGGGAGGTGAGAAATCTGAAATGGGTCTCATGAGATTAACTTCAACATGTCAGTAGGGCTGTGTAGCTTTCCAGAGGCTCCAGGTAAAACTCCCCTGGAGTCCCCCCCTTTTGCAGCTTACAGAGGCTTCCCACACTCCTTACCTGGTGGCCCCTTTCCATCTGCAAAGCCCACAATAGCATGTCAAGTTTTCCCCGGCATCATTCCACACTGACTCTTTTGCCTCCCTCTTCAACATCTGAAAGATCCTTGTGATTATCTTGGGCCCTCCCTTGTCATCAGGATAATCTTGTTTTAAGGTCAACTGACTAGCAACCTTAATTCCACATGCAACCTTAATATCTCCTTGCCCTGAGGCATAACATGTTCTCAAGTTCTGGAGATTAGGATATGGACATCTCTGACACAGGCACTATCCTGCCCACTGCAAGCATCTATTATGTGCCAGGTTTTAACATACTTCACTTAATCCTCACTACAATCCTATGAAGTAGGTACTATTGTTATCCCCATTTTACAGATGAGGAGATTAGGACTCAGAGAGGGTCATTGGCCTAAGGGCACACAATAAATGGCAGATCAGGGACTCAATGTAAGGCTTGTCCAGCTCTGTCAGCCAATTTGACAAACTAAACATGTTCTTCCTTCCTTAAGGGCTCTATATATATTGTTCCCTCTGCTCAGAACCCACTTCCCTTCTTTACCTAGTTATCTTCTTCTCATATACCTATTGTCACTTCCTTAGGGAAGCAGTCTCTGATTTCACAGATGAAGCCATGGACTTTATGTATCATAATTATGCTTTATTATTTGTGTGCATTTCTTTCTGAAGAATAAAATTGCTTCTCCTTACCAGGGTCCTACATGAAAAAACCTCTGCCTTCTCCAGCTTCATCTTCCTCTCTGCCTTATCCCTCACTCTGGCCATACTCATCTTATGAACTCACCAAGTAGCTCCCCACCTTAGGATCTTTGCACATACCTTTCCTCTAACTTGACTTCCCCACTGCTTTGCTTGATTAATTCCTTACTCTTCAGGCCCCAGCTTACATGTAAGCTTACAAGAGTAAGGCTGGTCCAGGATTGCAACTTCTCATGGCTGTGTATTTCCTTCAGGGTGCTTATCACAATATCATGGTTATAATTACATGTTTATTTGTGTATTTATGTGCTTAATATCATCCTTGCTCCTATGCCAAATTTTAGGGCCTTGTACCATGTCTAATAAATAATAAGTATCAGAGGATACTTAATATATTAGTGAAATAATGTAATTTGAGCCTGTCCTGGTGGCTTTGGGGACATGGAAAACTATCAAACAGAGTCTATTTAGAGATACTGTGAAACTGTGAAATAGTATTGCCTTTGATGTTCATTAGAAGATTCTACTTTTCTTTCTTTCTGCCTTTATGCACCATTCTTAATTAGCGAGACTGGTCAAAATCAGAGACTCTGAATAAAACACATAGGCCATTGTAGGAAAAGGATAAATAAGCCTGAACTTTAATAACCACCTCTTGTTTATTGTTATACAAGGATAGCTCTGGTGGCTGAAAAACAAAGAAATGTGTCTACTGGATCTCAGGCATCAGTGTACATGAGAACCATTAGGAGTTCTTTATCTGTATTTCATGTGCAGAGATTCCCAGTCATAGTTCTAGAAAGCTCCCTCCACAAGGTTGGATGCTGATCTTCCTCCTGGTCTTTGGACCACACTTTGGCAGTGGTGAGTGGTTCTCAAACTTTGGTCCTTACTACCTAGAGCCCACAGTTGAAGTAGGGTAGACCCCATGGCTGTTGTTACCAATTCTCACTAAAGTTTCAGAAACACTTGCTTTCAGACTTGGCTGCACATTGGAATCCCCTAAGGATTTTTAAAAACTACTAATGCCAGCATCTCACCTCTAGAGATTTAGATTTGACTGATCTGGAGTACAACCTGAGAGAAGGTTTAAAGCTCCCTAAGGGATTTGAATGCATGTGAAAGCTTGAGGTCTTCTGACCTAGAGCAGTGATTCTCAAATTCAAATGGCATCAAAATCACCTGGATGGACTTTTAACCCATGAACTCTTAGGCTTCACCCTCAGTTCTCCATTCAGTAGGTCTATCTGTGGCCTCAGAACCTGCATTCCTTACAAATTCCCAGTGGTTGTTAATGACCCTGACCCAGGGACCACACTTTGAGAGCTGCCGATCTAGGTGAGGAAAACCAAATAGATTGACTTTTCAGATTTGAAAGCCCCAAGAAATCATTGAGGATTTTGTAATTTGTGTTTGAGGCAAGATTTATGATAGGGATAAGGAATTGCAAGATTGTATGTTACTAACAAACTCTTCGGTGACACCTTTGCTGCTAGACCACAGACTTAACATTGACTAGTACAATCTGGACTATGTGGGTCCTAGTCCTGGGACAGAATGCAGTCTCCATAGTGTTGCTTACTTGGGCCATGCAACGGGCTTTGTATGGACAACCCCAGGCACTAATAAAATGTTCCTTTGTAAGGCATTGTTCTCTCTGCATAAATTTTCCTCAGCAACTTACAGAATAAGGAGGCTGATACAGATTAGGTTTTAAGTGTTCTTGTGTCTCTGGCCAAAAACTATCTTCATTTCACCATGATTTGCAACAAAACAATACAAATGACAGTAACTTGGGTCAGCTGCTTACTGTGTTTGCCTAATTACCATATAGTAAAAGAAAAAATAGTCAAAACACATGTCAGATTAGCTTGTGTGAGCTTTATTTGATTACAACAGTAACCTCCATTCTGTAGGCTAACCTTCATGGCTGGTTACACATGTAAAATGGTTGTCTGCTCACAACTTAAAGACATCAGAGGGAACGCTGGGTATTAGAGACATGGTAAATTATCCAATGCATTGATTTCCTGCAGTCAGGAATGGTTAAAGCTGTGATTGCTATTTTAAAGGATCTGTCTATATTCCTGCTTTCCTTGCTTCTAATATCCTAGCCATGAGAGGGTGGGGAGGAAAGCCGAAGGAACAGAAAGAAAAAAAATGGGATTTATATAAACATGATAAATCTGTTTTATTACCTACATTACACACTGGATGTGTTTTAAAAAAAAAAAAAAAAACTCTCAATTCAGAGCAATTGCTGCAAATCACACATTCCTGATTGTATGGCAGTATTCCTGGTGGGAAAGCCAGAACTAGTGAAGGATGGATTTTAGCATGTCCTATGTGCTTATTTATGGTGCAGCACATCATCAAACAACACTTCACAGGCTCTAAGCTGGCAAACTGGAAGGCTTTGAAGAGAAATAATGAGCTGAGAGGTTCATGACATGCTATTAAAAAGTTTGTGATTGGATTTGGAAAATCAGATGGGTCTCCAAGGGAAAGGGACCATTTCTGAGCCATTGCACTTAGAATATTTTTGAGCCCCAGAGCAGATATTTATGAGAAGGGAGAGTTGTTTTTGTCTCAAATCCAGGTTCTGACTCTGATGTGTAGCAAGGAAGCCGCTTTGCACTGCAGACCTGAAGTGCTGGAATTATCCATGATGTCACCTTTTTCTACTGATCTGCCTACCACTGCACAGAGGCATACTATTAGCTCTGTGACGTTTTTGCTTAATTCTCCCACATGCGGGCTGCAATTCCAGCCAAAACAAAGTCGGCAGGAGATTTCACAGCCACTGAATTGCTCAAGGTGCTCCAGGCTCAGGGAGATGGGGGGATCAGGTTGGGATTCATGCATTAGGAATGAAAAGATGAACAGAAAGGAAAGGCAGCGGGACAGTGGGATTTGGGGTTGCCTGGTGTGTGAAGCTTTTCGTCTTCCAATCAGTGATTTGATGTTCCTTTTTCACCTTGGAGATTTGCAGTGCTTTTCTGGCATATGTGATAGAATAAAGCACCCTGTTCCATTTCCAGTGGTGAACCAGGGAGACCTGCTAGTGAAACTATAAAGAAGACATTTTAGGATATGAGATAATGAAAGAGAATAGTATTTAAAAAGAAACACACACACACACACACACACACACACGCATAAACACACTCAGAGTAATACATAACTAGGCAAGCTCAAGATGAAGTTATGGTGAAGCCATTTTCCCCATTGCAGTGACACTTTAACTCTTTAGATCCCGGAGTTCTCCTGCACTTATGCAGCCTGAAAAGATGGTCCCACAGCCACCACCATAAGGCCAAGAGGCACAGTACGTTGAATCAGGAAGGTCTAGCACACTTGGTGAGTGCTATGATCCTGAGCTCAAAGCACATGATCTCCAATCTCTGAGCTCAAAGCACAGGGTCTCTGAGATCCTTCCGTCTCACTCACATTTCCCCACAAGTTCCATAATAACAAACACATGACCCTTGCTTCCAGATCTTCGGGATTGACTGCACAGTAGGGCTGAGCTATTGCTCCATGAAAGATTATTTGTGATCATTAGGGAAAAAAGAAGGCAGGGCTTCAAATGGTACGCTAATCAAAAAGGAACAACTGCTGCCGCTTCTCCAGCTTACTTCGCAAAAGTCACATGGATGATGGTCCATTTCCAAGTCTGGTCCAGCCAAACTCTCAGATGGAGAACTATTTGTTTCTTATGGGCAAAGCTGTTTTTTTTTTTTTTTTTCTTCTCTCTCTCTGTCTCTCTCTTTCTCTCTCGCCACTGTGGGAAAATGAACTTTTTTTCAGTCACCCCTGACATCTGACCACTCAACTGATCACGAGGACACTGCGGTAAACCACAACTCAACTTGAAATTATCTCTCTTAGGCACTGTTCCTGTACTTTGGATGGCACCATCCCTGGCTCTCAGCTTTGCCTTTCCTCTATGGGGTCTCCATTTCCCTTGTCTACTCAAAGGGAGTGGTTTTGCTCTGTTGTCTCCAATTGGGCTTGTCCTCAAAGTAAGCAGAGTGCCAAAATGACACCAGTTTTCCCAGCCAAGCCCTCAAAAAATGGCCCATTTATACATGGTGTCCTAAAAAGAAAAAAAAAATAGCATGAAAACTTTAAACATCCTGCAAAGGGAGGGGGAGCGCCAACTCTCTTGATTAATATTGAGATGATCCAGCAGGGTTTATACATATTCCTTCTGTTTGAATCATCTTGTTTTTTGTAGCTGTTTTACACCTCCAGGATCCTGCCATCTGCCTACTCTAAAGAAACACAGCAAAGCCTTCCAAAAACAATGGTTGGGAGGGGAAAAAAAAATGTGATCAAACCCAAGAAATCGACTTCTCTGCACCCTTTTGGTTACTGCTGCTCTTCCTGGAGAGAAGACAGTGTGGTGTGGCCCAGAGGTTCAAGCCGTGGTGGGTTCACCTCCTAATAAACAGCCCCCTGCACCCTGTCACGCCATCAGGCTGACAAGAGAGAACTTGGTGTACAGATCTGCCTGCCCTCTTGGCTGAGAAAGGAGGAGGAGAAGGAGGGGGTGGGCGGCGCCCTGGGCAGTTATGTCCTACTCAGATCTGGTGTGTGTCACTGGAATATAGGTCAGCATTTGCTGGACACCTCAAGGCAGGCTGGAAGCCTGCAGACCTCAGAGCAGGCCCAGGTCTCCCCACCCACGTTCTCTTCTTGCACAAAACAGGTTAACAAGCCCAAAAAACACTGAGAGAGTCCTGCAGGACAGATGAAACCAGTCTTCGCATTTTGCACACAAATCTGGGGAAATCTAAAGCTTAGCAAGGGCTTTATCAGTCCTGGGGTTGGGCCAAGGTGCAGGCTGTAGTTCAGATGGCCTAGCCAAATGCAGCTGCTGGCTATTCACGCTTCCCTTGGGGACTTTTCCTCAACCCCTCATTTAGATAGTGGAGTGGATGGGTAATGTGCACGTAGCCACTGAGGATGATTCGAAAAGCAAAATGACTTTCAATTACCATGCAGTTCAGGTGGAGGCAGAGAGTACAGAAAAGGTTTTCTTTCCAACAGCAAAGTGAGGTGACAGAGAGCTGCTGGCTTTGCAGAGAAATGATTAATTTAAAGGGCTATTGGCTAATGCTTTGGGCTGGACACTTAGGCTCAGCTACCTCCCTTTCCCCCACAGTTCATAGAGGGATAAAGATGTTACATGAATTGGATTTTTCTTGTGAATTAAAACATTGATGTCCTGATTTGGGATAACAAGCATTGCCAAGTTAGTGCTGAGCAGACAGAAAGGAATAAGTCTAAGGCTTTTGCCTTTGGGGATATGCAAAAAATATCCAAAAAAAAAAAATGTTCCATTGATTGTCCAAGGTCATTGGGATGTGCTTGCTCAAAATGGAACTCAAGACTCCCAAATCTCAGTGTCTGAATAATTGTTCTTTAACTAAAACAATGAAAATAAAGTGAATTGGCAGAGGATATTGTTCCAGGCCAAGAAGTTCAGAAAGCAAGCAGAGCCAAGAAAAATGGGATTTTCTTTAGGCTGACATCAAATGCCTCAGTAATAATCTTCTAAATTGAGTTTATTATTTTCAACACAGGCATACTTGTGATTTCCCATCATGCAAGTTAAATTTAAATTTAGTGAGTATTGCTGAGTGTGGTGGTGCACACCTGTAATTCTGTCTACTAGGCCGAGGCAGGAGGATCACGAGTTCAAGGCCAGTCTGGCCAACTGAGCAGGACTCTGTCTTAAAAATATAAAATAAAATAAAATTTTAAAAATAGTATCTGCTAAGTTCCTGCACCATGCAAGGCATTTTTCCACAGATGTATGATTTAGTCCTCACAAAACCTAGAGGTTCAGAAATCATTATCACTATTTTACTGATGAAACTTACTAGGATTAAAGTCCTGCTTGAGGTGTAAGTAGAACTGAGACTCAAACTCAGCTTTCCTAACTCCCTCTGGGTTTCACAACCATTCAGCTTATAAATAGCATCTTGTTTTATATGTTCATATGTAGGTCGATTGTTGTAAATTTAAGCTTCCAGATAAAAACAACTATGAGCTAAAATGGAGGTTTCTTTAAATTACCTATTTACAGTATTGTTCCCAAAGATAAAGATTCTAAGATGTATTTGTATTGGTCATGATTAAATAGTGCATAAGTTTATAAATAAACTCTATGAGAAGTTACATAACCTGATTAAAATCTGGTCTGGTATTTAAAATGCATTGATATATCCAGATATAAAGTAGTTTAGACCTTATACGAAAAGAATATTGGCTTAAAAATTTGACAATTTACAGATGTTAGCAAACATGTGATTCAATGCTAAGTGCATATTGACAAGGCAGGGAGACAGAAGTTAATTCAGTCAGCATCTTAGTTGGAGAGGTTGTATGCCAGCCTTTCTTAAAATAGAGAGGGACTTAGTGTAATTGTTTCTCTATTTTTTGCTTTTCCTTTTTGAAAAAGGAAAGATATGGGGATAGGAGAAATAAATTAAAAGTTCTAGGAGTACTGCTGGGCACAGTGCATACCTGTAATCTCAGTGACTCTGGAAGCTGAGGCAGGAGGATCACAAGTTCAAAGCCAGGCTCAGCAACTTAGCAAGACCCTGTCTCAAAATAAAAAATAAAAATAAAGGGCTGGGAATGTGGCTCAGTGGTTAAACACCTCCTGATTTCAATCCTTGGGACCCCCCACCCCACCCCGCAAAAAAAGAAAAAAATTACTTCCAGGAATACAGATGTGAAAAAAATAGACAGCACTGACGCTCACCATCCAGGAGGGGAGGAAGACATGTAACCAAACATAATGAGGGATGAAGAAGTAGGAATGTGTGGGAGGCACAAAATCAGCACAGAGAAGGAAGTCATGACCCCCAAGACAGTGAGAGAGAAGGGACGGTGTGGGAAACCCCCACAAAGAGGAAAACCGGACCTAGAATTTAAAAACTTCAGCCAAGTGGGTAATGGAAGAAAGAAGAAGTCTGTAAGAAAGGCACGGAGCACGAAACAGGTTGACATTTGGGGCTTAGGAAGAATCTAAAGCTGTTGCAGGGGACAGCACAGGATAAGTGTGGGGAGAAACCAAGTAGTGAAGTTGCTAGGAGGTTGCGTGCGCGAGGAGCCACCCTCTGGTTTTAAAACACGGACATGAGTTTCTGAAAAGTTGCTTCTGTGGTGTCCAAATAGTTGGTCATCTGAACAACAAAATGAAAAGCTGGTTGTTTCCAAAAAGTAATTAAATAGACAAACTCCCAGCATGATTGCTGTTTTTTTTTTTTTTAAAGGAGGAAGAAATAAATAGTACCAGATATGAAAAGGGACAGTGAAACAGAAAAAGTAAATATTTAAAAATCTTAAGAGAATCACATGAACAACATTAGGTCCATATATTTGAAATCTTGGATACACTGTACAATTTTTAGAAAGCATAAATTGTGAAAGTTAACTTGAGAAGAAATTGACACTCAGTAAACCTATAACAAGAAAGGGGGAAAATAGGGCTGGGGTTGTGGCTCAGTGGTAGAGCACTTGCCTCACATGTATGAGGCCCTGGGTTCCATTCTCAGCACCACATAAAAAGAAATAAATAAAAATAAAGGGAAAAAAAAAGATCATATCAAACTTTAAAAAAAGTGGGGGGAATTAAATCAATAGTGAAAAATATGTCATAAAGGAATACAATTTTAGAGACAATAATTTTTTTCCCCAAAATCAAAAGAGTCAGGCTCAGCAACTCCGGAGTCTAAGGCAGGAGGACTGCAAGTTAGAGGCTAGCCTCAGCAACTGAGCAAGATAAAAAATAAAAAGGGCTGGGAATGCGGCTTATTGGCTAAGTACCCCTGGGTTCAATTCCTGGTACCAAAACAAAAACCAAAAGCATATTAAAGGAAAATATAATAACCTTTAATATTATAAATATAAAAATATTTCATAATATTTTACAAAGTCAGATAAGGAGAGAATGATCAATCTTGCTTATGGGCAGAGATACAAGAATGTTAAATATTAGCAAGTGATCCAAAGTGACCATGAACAAATATCATAAGATAAATATCATATGGCATTAAAGAATTGTTTAACATTGAAAAATTAATTATGTAAGTTATCACATTGACATACCACATAGACAATGGAAAATATTCAATAAAATTCTGTACCTACTTATGATTAAGAAAAAATTTTATTTTCATACCAGGTATTGAACTCAGGGACATTCAACCACTGAGCCACATCCCCAGCCCTATTTTGTATTTTATTTAGAGACAGGGTCTCATTGAGTTGCTTAGTGCCTTGCTAAGTCACTGAGGCTGGCTTTGAACTCATGATCCTCCTGACTTAGCCTCCTGAGCCACTGAGATTTACAGTCATGTGCCACCATGCACAGCTAAAAAAATTTTCTTTTCTTTTTTTTTTTTTTTGCCAACTGGTTTGAATCATAGCTCCATGGCTTATTAATTCTTAAATTTTAATTTGGGTAAAAATAATCTAAGCTTTATATGAAAAAGGAAACGAATACTTAAAGGAGGAATGAGAGTGGAAGCAAAGGGAATAATTAGGAAGAGGTCATCGTAGCAAAGCCAGGTAGGCGGTGAGAGGTGTAGAAAGCTGGAAAAAAGTCCCCATGGTGGCAACAGAGGAGAGAGCGGATTTCAGTGACAACTTAGGGAAGATTGGCAGAGCCTGGTGATTGACTAGCTGTGGGAGGATGGTTGTAATGAAGACAAAGGAGTCTATTATGACTCTCAGCTTTCTGGACTAGGTGGCTGTTTGGATGGTAATTCATTTAAATAAAAATAGAAAAAACAGTTTGAAGATCTGTCTGAAATTAGCAAGGCTTTCTTGCATGAGGGGTGAAAAAACTGTTTAAGAGAACTGAGTGCCAGCAGCCTAGAGTTAAGCTTTTGCAATCACTAGGTATATCGATATCAAGAAAGAGAGAGGGGAAAAGGGGTCAGTGGGGATACCCTGCAGCTTTCAAAGGCCAGACTAGCACTGGGCCTGGCAGAGTAGCCACTCAATAAAGGTTTGAGTAAGTAGTCCAAAGCTACCAGTAGTTTGCTTAGTATATGGATCTGTAAGGAGAGGAAGTTTTGGGATACCCAGAATCAAAGAGATAAGAAAAAATAAAGGTTACTTCATAATAAAGATTACTTAGACATAAGTAGTGCCCAATAATGGTAACAATCAGGATAAAAGTATTTCTAACGTTGAAAACAGAGCAAAGAGAAAAAGACATTTCTATTTTTTTGTCTTCTTAAATTTTGCTCTATCATATATTTCATTAAGTATTTATGGGTAGTTATTACATTTTTGCATTGAAGTTAAATTTTTGTTCACCAAATGTTTAATTTTATATATAGCAAAACATAATATTTCAGTCCTCACTGATTCCAATGTGCCCAAGGCCCTGTGTTCACCTGCAGCAACCTCCAAAATTGCCTTTTTCTTCTTCCTCCTTCATTTCTCCAATTTTCCCTCTCAACTTAATAACATCCATGGATGTCCCATCCACTATGCTATAGCTTGAATATGTATTATAATCTATAGAAACAAACCACGCCAAATCATTATTTTATTACATAAGCACAGTGCAAGCAAATAAATGTGTACACCATCAAGAAATTAACTGACTAAACATTTCCACTCGGGCTGAGAAAAGAATGGACTCAACTGTAGGACTCTTCCAAAGCAGTAATATCCACTGAAGGCAGCATCAGGCATCTATGGAGTGGCTTTGGTAATAATAAGACCAGTATTCTTCAAAATGGTTGAAAATAAGGAATGCTAAAAAAGTACGAGTGGCCCTTCTAGAGTTTGGGTGTCCATTTCATAATTGCCTGGTGTTTACACTTCAACCTCTGGGACATCAGATTTCAGATGGCATTACCCAGGGACCAAATTCATATCAGAAGGAGAATGTACTAGAACCCTTTGCCAGGAACAGTCTCCTGCTGATCCAATCCAAGTGGCAAGATCCACAGCAGGACAAAGGAACTTTTGAAAGGCACTTGAAAAGAGTTCAGTTACTCTGCGGTTAACCCATCAAAGGCGTCTTCCTGTAACCCAGAGGACAGCAGGCCTCGACATGTGCTGGCCATTTGGAAAACAGATTCATACAGAGCAGATCAAAGATTTCAGGAGAGCCCCTTGCCTTGAAAAGATGAAGCCTTATGAAAATCATTAAGCAATTCATTGATATTTATTTGCTTACACTGTGCTTCAGCAAAGCAGGCAGGAAGATGAGGATGAGAGCCATGACCCAGTTTCAGAAGGGGCCCTAGCTCAGAAAAGAAGGGTTCCCTTACATGCCTGAGTTTAAAGAGACTTTTAAGAGGACATCCTACCACATGGCTGGCATACAAGGCTGTCTTGGCTCCCTTCAGCTGTGAATTAGGTTAACAGCCACCTCAAGCTTCTTAGAAACCTAGAAATCCCCAGGCAGTTAGAGAAATTCCATGGAGCTAAGAAAACCTTTGCAATCTCCGAGCTTTAACCAGAAAACGATATTTCCCAACATCTTCTTTTCTCCATCTGTGGGACTTTGTGTAATTTACTCCCAGCCTCGTAAAACATGGGTGCCCCATAATCAGTCCCTCCCAATGCACAAAACTCTTAATTCATGTCTCAGATCCTGTAGACCAGGAAATGAACAAGGAGCAAAGCCTTATTTTCACCTTGGAAATTACCAGGTTATTGTGCATGGAGTTTCTTCTAAAACCAAACTAATTCCTCTGCCCGATAGAGGGAACTTTGCTTGCTTTAAAGTTTACCAAAGTAGTCCCTTCTGAGTCTCAACTTCTCCTTTATGTGGAAGCAAAATTCCTTTGATCAGAGACCGGTCCAACAGAATGCCATCATCCTTACACTTGGGGCTTTTAAATGATTGTACTTGCTTCATCCGTGCTGTGGAAGGTACCCGATGCAAAACCTCTCAATCCCAGGGGGCCCTGGGGAGGAGGCTGACTCTAGGGAATTGGACTCCGCTTCTCCCACATTACAGAGGTTGCAAATCTACCCTCAAATATTCAACACATATGTTCTGAAATTCATTAAGTCCAAAAATTAAGAAACAAATTTTTAAAATCCAGCATTGGTTCTTGTAAAAAGCAGATAGTCGAGAAATGCTTGTTGACTGTTTAATTTGTTAGCTGATAAATGTGAGAAATACAGTCTGCTATGTACCACCGGACAGCTGATGTTGCTAGGAAGACATTTGTCTCGTTTGCCATTATGCAAGTTTGAGAAAATGAATTAGCCAAACCCTGCCTGTGTTTGAAGAACAACCTTTCTCAAAAGGTCTTCTTAAAACTCTCCTCTTTATTATTTGGGGATGGGGAGGGCACAAATGTCACTTGGCTTTAAATTGTCTATTAACTTTTTATTATCTCCAAATAAATTCTCAAAGGGAAGAATTTTGTCATATTATGTATTTTCTTATATGTGGGGGGTGTCTTTCATAATCTAGGATTCTTGCTCAAAGCAAATACTAAGTAATTGTTGACCATGGACATTAGAAGTACAGTTTGGTTTGTATCATATGGCAGTTAAGCTTGGAATACACAAAAAGTACCATT